AAAAACTTTTCCCGAATTTGATCATGTAGTTATTGAATAAGTATCACTAGAAGATTTAAATTTATTAATAGGATCTGTGACATAGAATCCATACGTGCCGAAGTTTTTATCTTTATTCTACGTATATGAAATAAATAACTGCATATAGCCTGTTTGAAGGCTTGATATGACATCGAAGACGTCTAAATAAATAATACTGCAGCAACTTTAAAAGTTGTGTTATGCTATTACCAAAAGCAGGTAAAAGTACATACTGACGGTACGTTGAAAAGGGGTGACTTAGTCGGTTAAGGCTAGAACTAGCTAACTCTACACACTACAACTACTAATCTTCTGGTCAAAGACCCTAAGACTTCGATTTGGCAGGCAGAAAGAGGCATGGAGAGACTTGGTCCAAGTCTTGTTGAGTCTTGCTGTAGCGTATTTGGAGATTAAGATAAGTCTAATCTTGACTTATGTTTATAGCAGTGAGTTATGAGCTTCGATTGAAGACTAAAAACGATTCTTCTTCTTAAGTTCAGGTATACTGGGCTTTACTCTTCAATTTGATCATTAAAATTTTTAACGATCGTCACGTGAGTCACGGGGTCAAGATTGATTTGCGAAAATCGATTGTTAACCACTTTAGAGGTAACAATAACGTGGATCAGAGTTTTAATCAATTGTATTTTATTATAAAAGGGGTTTTTGGGTTGTTAATCAACTCTCTTTCTCTTTCTAACTTAGAATTAGAATATGCATGAAATCACGGGGCAAGAGAATATGAATTTGGCTTGTGTTGATAGCGTTTTTAGTGAACTTAGAGTCGACACTTCTACTCAAATTTCAAAGATTAAGACTCTACTTGGGTTTAACACAACTTTTAACGAAGATAACGGGAACTGAGAAAAGTTTATTACACGTTTTATTTGAGACGAATTTTAAAGATAAGTGAAACTACTTTGAGTTACTTCTACTATTATGACTTCGAAGTATGATACTTAACTCAATTCTGCTTTATTTCAGAGCAAGGGCAGCTCTGCTTATATATATTTTTACAAAGTTTACAATATACAAATGTCCTTTGAATTTATCCACTAAAGTGAATAAATTCACTATATCTACTAAGGTGGTTAAAGCGGATAAATTCGCTTTAGCGAATTTATCTGACTTATCGTCCCAGGAACCTCCCGGATAACTAAGCTAAGTATATAGAATAATATGTATAATGATAATACTAACAGTAAGATGTAAATAAATAATAATAATAATAAAAATTTTGCAGGGTCGGATAACCGGAGCCCCTCACAACGTACATATGAAAAGTGCTTTCTAAATAAATTTTAAAATTATCAGTTTTTGATATTTATCACTATTTTTGAATTAGTGCAATCAATCATCTGCATATTACCATTGTTTTAAACAATGGTAATATGCAGAAGCTTCATAGGATTCACAGAATTCACATACTAATTCGAATGCATTTGATTTGGCCTTTTACTTATATATGTCTGATTTATGCGCCCCAATCTTTTAAAGTATTAATGTTATATTTAGGATCGAAAAGTATATTATACGTACAAA